CTCTCTATACTGATTATAATAATTATACACCGTATCCCACTAATACCCATTATCCGCCCAATACATAGTATACTGCAGATACAGAATAAACTGCGTATACTACCGGTAAACCTATTTCAGGTATGTGATCTACATACCCGTCACTGATCACAAGCTTTCGGCCCCACCATTCTACTGCTCACACCGTTAAGTCGTTACTGCGCCACACCGATCACCTGCTTAAACGAGCTTCCGGCGTCACCATCCTGCCGCTCACATAACAGCTGGAAGTCAACAGGTCGGGTCGGGCCGGCTCAAATATTTTTCGGGGTTGATTTCGGGCTCAGTAAAGCCGGCCCTCCCGGCTCGACCCTGTCCGTTCTGCATCCTAGCTGTAATGCTCATAAGTTAGAAGCAATATCAATATAAATGCGTCTATTTGGAGGATCTGTCCATTTCACCGACAGTATGTTTCATAATGTGAGCCGCAGGGCTGTAATCCCGGAAGCACGTGGAAGGAGGTGACCAATGTGGCGCAGTAACAAAAACTAGCGGATATGTCGATCACTTGCCTGAAATGAGTTTTCCGGTATTATGAGTCGTAAACGCGTATCGGGTTAGGAATGTTATTGGCTTGGATAGCTTAGCTTAGCTTAAAGAAACGAATTTCCTTATGTCAAGAAAATCCCGGGCTGCCGGCCAAAAAGATATGGTCGTAGTATATCAAAATTTCTCTATATATCTAACATTAACAATCGTATCTTATAAGTAAAATTTCATTTTGAAACTTTTACTTAGCGGTCGGAAGTTAGTCATCATAGTAAATTTTTGTGTTATTTACGTTTTTTTACAATTTCTTATATTTTTCGCGTTTGTTACAATTTCTTATATTTTCGTGTTTGTATTGTTACATGAGATCCTGTGATTTTATTGGATCCGGATAGGGTCGGAAGTGATCTTCAGCGATCTTCAGCCCGGGATTTTCTTGACATAAGGGTACCCTAAAGAAACCATAGCCAAGCTATAACTAAGCCATGGTTCAGGCTATTGGCTACAATTAAAACTAAAATCAATAATTATTTTTTTATAAATTTAAGTAATTTTAATTTTAGCTTAGGTATAGCTTTATGCTATTGGCTTGACTTGATTTTAGCTTAGCTTCAAATTGTAGCTAAAGCTGGCTTCAAGTAAAGCCAATAACATCCCTATATCGGGTCTTTAAGGGATATCAGCATAATAAGGGAAATCAGTGGGACCAAGGGTATAATTAGTATGTGCAGGATAATAAGTAATATATCACGGATAAGATGTAAGGATATAATAAAGGCGTTTCCCCTAGAGAAAAGACAGTCAGTATTTGAGATTCAAATAAATTCGTCTCCTTATAATTACACATTTCCTACGTTATAAATGCATACTTACCTTTCGATCTACTTCTGAAGGTACGATCGTCGCTTTTGTATTCTTGCTCAAATGATGACGTAAAGTATAACGTTACCCTGTCCGGTTGATTCTCGACGTTACTGAGGACTACCGTAGTGGTTGTTTTCCAACTCTCCCAACGTACCGTGGACAGTTGAGGTTATTGTATTCCGATTTGAGGTCCAAGGGAAGGTCCAGCCGTGGTTTTAGTTATAGTGATAGTAGATACAATAAATAGTGTGTTGCCGTATCAGAAGTCATACCTACGATCTTAACCACACTCGCCAAATATAACCGCATCTTATCGATTAAGCCCGTTCGTTGGTTACACGACGTACTCGATTGTGAAATGACCGACTCGTCCTTTAGGATTGTCAATAGGAAAGTTTGGATCTTTTGCAGAATAAGTGACACCACTAATGAAATATATTATTAATTGATTTAGAGTAGGGATCACCTATACTGCAAAAGATCCACAAGTTTTTTTCATAAATTAAATTAATCTTAATTCTAATTCTAAAACCTGAACCAACGGCAATGACCAGAATTACTTTATCGGTGAAATGAACGGAACCGTATTTACAATTTCAAATCAAGAGAAAATGTAAATTTTCATTGTATATAAGGTTGTCAAAATTGTCAAATGTATCACCAGTAATCGTACTTTTATTTATATTATTAAAATTTCATTACTAATATATCATGTGTATAAATAAAATAAAATTTTATTTCGTGAAATTGCGAATTACCAGTGATCATAAAATTTGGTTTTTAAAGCTCCTACTTATATTTGATGATTTAATACCGAAATACTCTAATATTATTGCAGTTAAAAATCTTAAGTATTAAAGGAACAACTTATTAAGGAAATAGAAGCAATATTAGCTAGTACATTCTCAGGGGAAAAAGAACGTTTACAGAGTAATAACCAATAGATAATCGCTTGGTATAAAGGTAATTTATAACTAATTAAAAAAAATAATAATATAAATAAAACAATAGACGGTTAGAGATCTAATAAAGAGCTATCAGCATCCCTGAAAAAAAAACTCCCAAGTATCTACAATCGAGTAGCTTCACTACCCATAAAGCAATTTCTAATTTTTAATAAATTTTGCAGCTTGCATCCATAATTGACTTGGATCTCTAGCACTCCGTTCGTTGTAATATAACTGATAATCCGCGGGTCTAAAAGAAAAATCCATTACTTTATTTGGATGGTTAACACTATAAACTTCAGCTATGGTAAAGCTTAAGCTTAAAGTTTCTGGAAGAGTCAAACTTGAGACTAAAGAGCTGTCGAGATTAAGTATTTTAAAATAAGGTTTGAAAGAATCCGTAGATATTTTAGATCCGCCAGACATTGATGCAAAAGAAAACCGTTTGTTTGGAAATCCACCGACAACTATAGTAGGAACATTATTTTCAGCTAATCGTTGAGTTATAAGTGCACACGA